CAACTATTATTTTCTCTTGTAGACTATATGCAAACATCTTTTATGTGAAATATCTTATTCAGGTCAGCACTAAATAAACAATAACATGCATTTTGCATGATCCCTCTTATTTTGGTAAAATAATTAACATTTTGCAGATTCTGCAAGGGGGATATAAACTTTTGACCTCAAACGTATACATTGCATTATAAATTTCCTTCTCACATATTTGAGGGGCATGTTTTTTCTAAGGAAGTACTGTGGTGGTACACAGTATACATAGAACATGGTACTGAAAGATTACCACATTTTGGTGAAAACAGTTTCTAAGCGCATATTATGGGAGGAAGGTCTCACCTCTCTGTCCATTGAGGTACTGAGCAGAAGTTCTCTGTCCCCAGAGCGAAACGAGCTCATGTTAAAGACGATACGGCTGTGATTCTGTCCATCTGAGGAACTGCCCAGCAGACTCCACTTCTGCTTGCCTGACTTCTTGAGATCCCACATTATGATCTCACCGCTGCACGGCAACATTCACAGCGAGTCAACTTATGTTAATTTACAAGAATACATCCTCTGACACAAAACAACCGTTTGGCATCTCATCTATACAACCATACCCGAAACAGCTGGACACAATCTGTGAAGGTCTCCCCTTAGGCCAGTGGACAGTCAGCCAGAGTCTTTCCTTCACTGCTGTATCAACTCCTGCTCCTCGTCTCTTCAGGAAGGGAAGCTTCAAGGTCATTACACCTGAAAGGAGACACACTGTGACCTAAATGACCCTGCACCTGAAAGCTACTATAAACCAGTTTTGTTTGTGCAAGCTTTGGGCAATGAGTCTCTTTGTCACCTTTTCCTCTGGCTGTGCACCATATTCGCACAGTTTGATCTCGACTACCTGATGCCAGGTAATACCCCATTTCTGCTCCTTCGGTCACCCCATTGCTTCCATCTATAGAAAGAGTCAATGACATGTCACTTATCATTTTGTCTTCTCTATTATTTCAGGGGTTACTAATCTTTTTGTCAGTTGAATTTCTTTGATGCAAAATATACTTGAAGTCCCCCTGAGATGTTAAATTAATATTTCAATAATTATTTACATATTCGTTCCTTTGTTCACAGTTCTCTGATGTAAGTTAAAGGTCACATGACACGCAAGAAAACAGATAATATCTGATAAGTAGGGGTGTAACGGTGCACAAAGTTCACGTTTCGGTACGACACATTGGTATCACGGTTCGGTACATTTTCAATACGGGGGGTGGGGTAATTGGTTACATCGCAATGTTGGAAATATTTCGGTTTTAAACCATGAAGGTGAGCCAATGGACATCACATAAGCAACATGCAAACTATGCGCAAGATTTATGCAGCGAACGTCTTAATCTCAGTCAATTCACTATGCAGAATGTGAAAATAAAAACGGAATGACGGAGTAATGACGGAGCTTTCGGCATCTGACGCCGCATATTCTCTCAGAGACGAATCTACAACATATGCTGATAATGGTATATAGCTAACTGTTTTTATTTATTCCCTTAATTTTTCTCTTGTGGCCCATACATAGTGGGGAAAAAATGAGAAGAAACATATTTCGTGTTAAACAGGTTATTTTTGAAAGTCGGTGCTTAAAATAAAAGCTTTTTATTTAATTGATGACGGCAGTGTTAATATTTTAATTATAGGCCTATAATTCATTGTATAATAGACCTGTTTTAAAATACCTTTTAAAAAAAAAACATTTTAATCGAGGAGTAAATAGCCTACTCTTTTGTTATCCTCGCAGTGTGTCAGTTATGTGGTAATTATTGTTGGGCAAATTAATTGTAATCTTAATTTAATAATAAAAGTAACTTCATAATAGGCCTAATAAATTAAGAATGTAACAGGCCTACATTAATTGGAAATGCCAAATCCTCTTAATATTGTCAATAATTGATGTTTTTGACAATATCTCTGGCTATCGTCGATACAAGATCATTGTCTTTCGACGCAACCCAGCAAAGGGAGGTTATCGCTGGGCCATCCGCTACGCCACTGGCGCAACTGACGCTGTTACGTTGTTTGGGCTGTCTTGTTGAGCGCAGTGGCACTGAGAAAATTATATTTCACACACTTTAAGCTCTTTTATTTTCCAAATGTAATAGGACTAGTCCAACAAATCGTTCGGTTTGTAATGCATACCGAACCGAAAGCCTCGTAGCGAACGTTCAATACGAATACGTGTATCATTACACCCCTACTAATAAGAGTTATTTTGAATTTATATTATACAGGTGCATCTCAAGGGCACCATGCCAATGCGTGAATCTCATCATCATGCCCCCTCAGCTGATGGATTACCTCCCCTTTCTTACTGATGTCTATCACTACTATCATTCCATCCTTATACCTTTAAGAGGAAGCATAAACAGTTAGCATGCACCACTGATGAGTCTAGAGCTCTTTATGATCACAACATGTATTGAATAATTATACAACGAGCCTTTACCCCACTGCGATGTAGTTTTCCTCATGTGGAGAGCAGGATAAGCAGAAGATTGTTCGAGGTTCAGGGAAGAAGCTCTGGGTGTCATTACTGCTAAACCAATAGCACACCACAATGCCCTTTTCATCTCCAGTGACTAGAAGAAGTTTCTGCACCGGAGACCAGTGGACTGCAGAGATGGTGCTCTGTTCAAACATATGGTATGTCAGTCATCATGATTTTCTATGATATTCTATGCCTTGAAAACTTGAAGTTGGTATTTTGTAATATATTTAAAGTCACCAAGAAACCAAAATAGACATAATTCATATATTTTATGGAATACTGCATTGTTTATCATAAATGATTTATGCACATTATTATTTTTTAAAAAATCATGATGGGGAGAAGAAAAAAATAGTCCCACCCTACGCTTTTTCTCATTCGAAAAAACATTTTACTTGGATATTGGTCACAATAATAAAAAAGAAAAGATTATCATAATTTCTGTTTCATGACGATTTTGATGTTGTTGTTACAAACTCTGCTTAAATATTTAAGCAGTAAAAGCAGTTATGAGTTTATGGCTGTCATGGAGTTATATTGTAAATTAGAAATATTTTCTCATTCTAGAAGCTGTTTCTCTCATTCATATATCACAACAGGGATGAAAAGATGATGGCAATTTACATTTAATGCCGGCCTTAATGTTATTGCAAAAATGTCACCTCACCAGTGTTAATTTTTTTTAGCAAAATGACAGAAGTGGTTGTCCAAATAACTTGTGATATGGATAGAAAATTAGAAACAAATCGGTAAGGGGCGTTACATTTCCGACGAGTGCTTGCGGTGTTCGACCAATCACAATGCACTGGGTCAGCTGGCCAATCAGAGCAGACTGCGCTTGTCGGAAGGAGGGACTTTGTAGAAAACGAAGCGTTTGAGAGAGGCGGGGCATAGAGGACCTACAATAATGTACAGTATTTGAAAAATAATGTGTTTTTTGAACATTAAAGCATGTCAACATATTCTGTTACACCAAATACACAAAATAATGATCTTTAAAAAAAGCATCATACGACCCCTTTAAGTAGTGATTTCATGACTTTTACAATATAGAAGCAAATTCTATTCTAAGTTGTTTAATGAAAAATATAAATAATTATTTATAAAATAACTATTATTAGTTACTCTATACTTATAATTATTTATATTTATTTAACAAAATGTTAAATATACTGACAAAAATAACATTTATTTCATTTGGAGGCAATGAAACTGTTGTCCGGGCAAGAAAAAATGTTATTGTTGAGTCCGGAAGTTACACTTTTGTTTTACCACTGTAGAAAATGGCTATAGTATAAAGAAAAAGAAAGAAAAAGAAAACTGTAATATAGTACAAAACTTGTTAAGGGAACAAACTGTGAGCCAGTTACAACGCTTTAAGAAAGACAGGCCGAATATTCACTCACTTGGTGGACATTGTGCTCTTTCAACAGAATTTTCTGCTCAGCATCCCAGATTTTGACTGTCTTATCATCTGAAGTGCTAGCACAAATGTGTTCTTGTCCATCATGGGAGCAAAATACAAAACCAGAAACTCTTTCAGTGTGCCCAGTGAGTTCACCTGCAGAAAGAAGGTCTAATCAGATCAATGTGAATTAGCAAAAAGCATTATATTAAAGCATCCTGAGCTCATACCTGTTACTGCTGGAGATACTGCAGTCACATTTAGCAGATAGATTGTATTCTTTGCTCCAAAACCCAGCACTCCCTTTCCATTTATGTCACTGCAACGTGAACAGTACCAGTTTGGAGACGCTGGCAGATGTCGTTGGTGCATTTTAAAGAGAAAATGACCGCTGCATCAAGATCAGAGGATAAATTCGCGGATAGTGACAGTGAATTCACTTCTCACATCTACTCATGCTGCCGAAAACACACCGGCCGCCGAATATCAACAGCGTGAGCTGTAAAATTATACGGAACGCGAGAAGGGACAGTGTTACCATAGAGACAGTCAAATCTTGGTTTAAGACCGACATATTCAATAGATAGGTTGGTAGAAATATATATCATACGCCTTATTTGTAATTAGAATATTTTTGTTGGAAAAAATGCAACCCAAAATAATAAAACGTATAACTTTGAACTCATTCTGCAGGGACATTTGCCGTAAAGCAAAGCGTCGTAATATATTCAACCGAGAGTCTGTTCATTCAAGTAACGTTAGTTCAAAACACCACTTCAGCGATTCATTTAAGTATTATTTGACCAAATCTCGAGACAGTCAATGATATCGCAGTGACATATCACCTGCTCTAAAACCCTAAAACCAGTCAATCCATGTAGGCACTTAACGTTACTGCCGTTTTTCGATATATATGGGAGTATATTGTAATTTAATGCGTCCCTGTCCAGTTGTTGCAGCCATAATTTAACTAATAACGCAACGCAAAGTCATTAAGAATCAAAATATTTGCATTGACACTGAAAAATATAAAAATTCACAAACATGTTTTACATTTCAGTCGGATTTGCTAACGAATAAATCAGATCAGATGTTTCGTTTTAACGGAGGTGTCGGCTCAACTGATTCACTGAAAAGATTCAAATCAAAAGAACGATTCGCTCACGAATCGGACATCCGTGATCATCAATATGGCGGCCTCCGTGGTGACTTGGGCTGGTGAGTCAAACCAAATATACTTTCTTTTTATTTACATGTATATATGCATTTCCGTTAATTTTGTTTTAACTGGAAATTACATGGACATTGTTTATAGGTTTAGCCGCAATTGGTCGTGCTTGTGGACATATTCGCTCTAGGTAAGAAAACCACATGCAGTTGCTGTGAAATGTAAAAGGACACCGACTGAAAACTAATAAAATCAGTGTGGCTGTGTCTTAAAACATACCTAGATAAACAGCATTTTTGGCCATCAATGTGCTGTTTAATGCTAGGTTTTGAGCCGCAGCCTATTTATTGTTTTACAATCTGTCTTGCTCCATTTAGGTTGCTTGGATCTTCATCAACGTTATCTCAGGTGTCTTGTCTTCACACAAGTACAGAGTTAAATAGCAAACACTGGGAAAGGAAAAGTCTGATTGTATATCCACCTCAACAGAAAGATGAACCACGCAGACCTGCTGTTAGTAATTCATTTAATTTACTTTTGCAAGTTCATTATGGGGTTACATTTATTTAGAGTTTGTCTTTTTTTTATGTATAATAGGAGATTTATCACTGCAGACGACAGATTAAATACAGCAAAGACAAGATGTGGTACTTGGCTAAATTGGTGAGTAATATGTGTTAGGACTCATTTATTGATAGTTGCACTTTAGTAGGTAACATGGCATATGCATAGCATATGGAGTAATAATGTATAGTTGGTTACATTATTTTGGTGATGAATGTTTTTACAGATCAGAGGTATGACCATTGACCAGGCACTCACTCAGCTCGAGTTCAACGACAAGAAGGGAGCTAAAATAATCAGAGAGGTAAAAATACAAACAGTTGATATGACAGGAATATCTGTTGAACTGCTCAAATAATATTGATTAAAATATGTATTTTGCAGTAAAACAAAAAAAAGTAAAAGTATTATTGAAGTACAAGTTTTTTTATGTGTTAAAGGTGATATTGGAAGCTCAGGACATGGCGGTCAGAAATCTCAATGTGGAATACAAATCAAATCTATATATTGGTAAGTTTGATACCTGCCAAACATTAACATGAAACGATTAGTACACTTGTTGTTTTTCTTGTGGAGTAATGTTTTTTTTTTTTGTGCATTCAAAAAAAGTTATTTCAGCATTTCAACCTGCTTAAAGTATCTTTAATTTATCAGCCAGCTCTGGTCCCCTTCGGTTGAAATTGTAGTATCGGTGGGTGGGTAATTGCCCGCACATTTTGAGACACAGAAGAAACATTTTGATGTGTTTGCAAGCTAGCCAATTGAGACTCAACCACAAAAAAAATAAAAAATTAATTGGTGGTTTTGCTTAAGACACAAAATGAATCTACATTTAGTGCATGAAAAGGCAATGTTTAATGTGTTATGTTATGTATGCTTCTTTTGTATTTTATTTTGAGTAATGTATTTATTTTCTGGATTGAATGTAATTTTATGAACACTGCTCTTTGACTTCAGTTTAAACCGTTAATTGTAACATCTGAATTATGTTTTCTTTTGGTCTGACTTCAACAGCTGAATCATTCTCTGGCAAGGGAAAATACCTAAAGCGCATTCGTTATCATGGACGTGGAATGTTCGGCATCATGGACAAAGTGCACTGCCACTACTTCGTAAAGCTTGTTGAGGGAGTCCCGCCCAAAGTTGAGCAGAAGACAGGATTCGACCAGGCCAAGGAGTATGTGGAGCAACTGAGGAACCGAACAATTATTCACTCCCTATAGTTTAAAAAGTCTCTTTGATGTTTTGGTAATGTGCTCATGTAAATAATAACTGAAGAATAAAGAAATCACACCAAGCACAGCTCTTGTTTTATCTTGTGGATCAAAGATGAAAGGGGGTTTTCAAAAACCAAAATAATAATAAAAAAAATCAAATTTTCCCCTGTGCATTAAAATATAAAATAATGACTATTATAAATTTCTATCATAATGTACAGAGAAAAAAAGTCATTCGGTGTGACAATGGTTTATTTACAAAAAAATCTTGTCAGGCATATTTAGAACAGGAATCATTTGATGACATTAAAACACTCGTATTTAGTGATCACAGTGCAGCTCCCATTAACTAATTATTTGTCATTTTTAAATATTTACAAATCCTTGACACTATCCTTCAAACCACTTGGTTATACCCATTTGTCAGCAATGTCGTTTTTAAGCACTTAAAATATAATAAAATTTAGTATGATCACTTATATATTTTAGTAAGTGCAGGTCAGAACAAGTAAGTCGTTTGATTTTTACATAGCTTTGCCAAACAGGAATAAACTATTTTAAAATGTTTTAAAATAGAAAACGTATTATACACAACATTAAACCACTGACAGATGAAGTGAATAATATTGTAAATTACATTTGAAGTAGTGAAATATATTAGGCAGCAAGTGAATTTTGAATTTCATGTGTTGGAAAAATTATTTTGACATTGGTCAAATATAGTGATGGATAGATGACTGAATCGGAGCATCTCCAAAACAGCAAGTCTTGTGGGATATTCCTAGTATACAGTGGTTAGTATCTAACAAAAGTGGTGGGGAGTGAGAGGCTGTCTGGTCACACAGAAGAGCTACTATAACTCAAATTGCTGAAAAATGTAATGCTGGCCATGATAGAAAAGTGTCACAATGCACTGCAGTTTTGCTGCATATGGGGCTGCACAGCAGCACACTGGTCAAAGTCCAAACAATGACTCCTGTCTACCACCAAATTCCCCAGATCAAAAGCCGATGGGATATATGGGATGTTGTGGATGGACAAATCCAATATGGAGGCTCCACCTCCCAAATTGCAGGACTGCTCTGCTGCTACAGGTGTTGACATTTCCCAACAGCACAGCAGTAATGACTTTATGAACTACTTTACTTCCAAGATCGATACTATTAGAGATAAAATTGTAACCATGCAGCCGTCAGCTACAGTATCAGATAGTGTGCTATTGGAACAATTCCACTCATTCTCTACTATAGGAGAGGAAGAATTGTATAAACTTGTTAAATCATCTAAACCAACAACGTATGTTAGACCCTATTTTATCTAAGCTCCAAAAAGAGGTGCTTCCAGAAGTCATAGATCCTCTTCTGACTATTATTAATTCGTCATTGTCATTAGGATATGTCCCCAAAACCTTCAAACTGGCTGTTATTAAGCCTCTCATCAAAAAACCACAACTTGAATCTCGAATCTCCCTTTTCTGTCCAAGATACTAGAAAAGGTATATCCTCACAATTATGTTCCTTCTTAGAGAAAAATGGGGTAACTCTTTAGCTTACAACCCGCAAAGAACTGAATTTACAGTGTACGTTTCTGTAATTATACCTATAAAGAACATACGTGTAGGTATAAGGGAACAATGTGTTACGTTTGGGTAATAAGGGGGTAACAACCAGATATGCAACCTGCAAAGAAATGCGTAAGCATACTGAAGTTACAGTGTAACTTTTTTGTAATTATAGTCTACCTATTCAGTACCTCCGTGTAGGTATAAGGGAATAATATGCAAAGTTTGGGGAATAAAGGAGTATCAACCTGTAAAATTACAAATAATTTATACTGTAAGTATTTTGAAACTAAGAGGTGCTTATTCTAATATTACATGGTATGTATGGCCTAAACAACAATCTTACGTTTGGGAATGATTTAGAAAGACGATATATACTTTTCATAATTTTATATTGGTATTTTATTATAGGCGTATAGGTATTTTTTAACCATGGGGTACACATTCTATTATTAAAGGATGGACATGATGGAGATTACTGAACATGATGAGTTAATGAATTTCTGCTATGATTTATAATTCACGAGTCTATTTACCTTATGAAAGCTTATTCGTCGATTTCAGCAACTTCACACCAGCAACTTCTCAACACCACTATCACCAAATAACTTTGCATGATATACCTTCAAGGTTCAATGCAGCTTAAACAAGTTTACCTCTTTCCAGCTGTTCGCAGAAAAAATACATGATTCAACATTTGTATTTCAGTGGATGTATACTGTGATGTTTTTATAGCAAAAAAAATGTAGAGGGTTTAATTTGGCCATCGAACAATTAAATTAAAACTAGTGCAATTTTTTTCTCTGTAATTACTGTGCAAATATACACTTGTTCTGTGTTTAAGTCCAACTTGTTCCTCCCTTGTTCCATGTATGTAGTTACAGGGTAAATACAACATTTGCGGCCTGTAAATTAAAGTGGTGCTTTGTTCCACCCTTGTTCCATGTAGTTACAGCGTAAGTGGCTACAACAAATACAGTAGGTCATACATACATTATATATCAGGTAATGTATCAATAAACATGGTGGACTGTTTTATTTAATTCAAATATTGTTTGCAATTTACTATAGGCCTACTGCTGGGTTAAATTAACCCAAAATGGCCCACCACGCACCAGCTTATTGGTGGAGAGGAGAAAGAGTGATGAAGCCAATCAATGTATGGGGATGATTAGGAAGCCATGATGGTCAGAGGCCAATGGGCAAATTTGGCCAGGATGCCGGGGTTATACCCCTACTCTTTTTCGAAGGACATCCTGGAATTTTTAATGACCACAGAGAGTCAGGAACTCAGTTTAACATCTCATCCGAAGGACAGTGCTTTTTACAGTATAGTGTCCCCGTCACTATACTGGGGCATTAGGACCCACACAGACTGCAGGGTGAGCACTCCCTGCTGGCCTCACCAACACCTCTTTCAGCAGCAACCTAGTTTTCTCAGGAGGTCTCCCATCCAGGTACTGACCAGCCTCAATCCTGCTTAGCTTCAGGGGGCAACCAGTCTTGGGCTACAGGGTGACATGGCTGCTGGCTTGCATTAGCATGGTTCAAATCGTTCTTATCTGACCGCCATCAATTCGTAGCAGTGAATGAAGAGTTATCATATCGATCACAAGTGCAGTATGGAGTACCTCAAGGCTCAGTACTAGGGCCATTACTTTTCACGCTTTACATGTTACCCTTGGGAGATATCATCAGAAAACACGGTGTTAGCTTTCACTGTTATGCTGATGATACTCAGCTCTATATTTCTTTGAGGCCTGGTGAAACATACCAATTTGAAAACTAACGGAATGCATTGTCGATATAAAAAACTGGATGATGAGTAATTTCTTACTGCTAAATTCTGAAAAGAAGCAATATTTCCTTTGAAAGCCACGTTTCTAGCATCTGTAAAACTGCATTTTTCCATCTCAAAAATATATCTAAATTACGATCTATGCTCTCAATGTCAAATGCAGAAATGTTAATTCATGCGTTCATGACCTCAAGGTTAGATTACTGTAATGCTTTTTTGGGTGGTTGTTCTGCATGCTTAATAAACAAACTCCAGCTGGTCCAAAATGCAGCAGCTAGAGTTCTTACTAGAACCAGGAATTATGACCATATTAGCCCGGTTCTGTCAACACCGCACTGGCTCCCTATTAAACATTGTATAGATTTTAAAATCTTGCTTATTACTTATAAAGCCCTAAATGGTTTAGCACCTCAGTATTTGAACAAGCTCTTATTGCATTATAGTCCTCCACGTCCGCTGCGCTCTCAAAACTCTGGCAATTTGATCATACCTAGAATATCAAAATCAACTGCGGGCAGCAGATCCTTTTTCTGTTTAGCGCCCAAACTATGGAATGACGTACCTAACATTGTTCGGGAGGCAGACACACTCTGTCATCTCTTTAACCTGGCTTACACATAACACACTAACACATTTCTAATATTAAAATCCGTTAAAGGATTTTTAGGCTGCATTAATTAGGACAACTGGAACCGGGAACACTTCTAATAACACCCGATGTACTCACTACATCGTAAGAAGAACGGCATCTACGCTAATATTAGTATGTTTCTTTCTTATTCCGAGGTCACCGTAGTCACCAGATCCAGTCTGTATCCAGATCAGATGGTCACTGCAGTCACCTGGATCTAGTATGTATCCAGCCCAGATGGTGGATTAGCACCTAGAGAAGACCTCTACAGCCCTGAATGTCAGCGGAGACCAGGACAGCTAGATGAGCCCCAGAGACAGATCCCCAGTAAAGACCTCGTCTCAGATGACCACTGGGACAAGACCACAGGAACCAGATGAGTCCTCTGCACAATGTGACTTTGCTGCATGGAATTAAACTGCTGTTTTCGTCTGGCCAGAGGAGAACTGGCCCCCCGACTGAGCCTGGTTTCTCCCAAGGTTTTTTCTCCATTCTGTCACTGATGGAGTATTGGTTCCTTGCCGCTGTTACCTCTGGCTTGCTTAGTTGGGGACACTTAATTTCCAGCAATATCGTCGACTTGATTGCACAGATACTATTTAAACTGAACTGAGCTGGATGATGACATCACTGAATTCAATGATGAACTGCCTTTGAAAATTAAGTGTTTACAATTGTCATTTTGCATTATTGACACACTATTTTCCTAATTAATGCTATAGAGTTGCTTTGACACAATCTGTATTGTTAAAAGCGCTATATAAATAAAGGTGACTTGACTTGACTTGACTAATGCCTTGATGCCAGATACCACAGGACACATTCCGAGTCTCTTGGAGTCCATGCCTCAGCACATCAGAGCTGTTTTTGCAGCACAAAGGGGGACCTTTACACAATATTATCCATGTGGTTTTATTGTTATGGCTATTCAGTATATATACAAGGGTGCACATATAAGTAGAAGTTTTGTGCCCACAGCCTCTTCAACAACTCAAGTGTTGGGAAAAACTGTCATG